GTCTTTATTATCCTCAGTGTATAATAAACCTCTCACTAAACTTCTTAATTGAGTTTCATACTGCAATGTTTGCAAATTGTCTTTTTCTATATCAATTGAATGCCAGCCATGATTAGGACAAAAAAAAACTAATTATATTTCTATTATAACAATTTTTTATTCCATGTTTGTCTGCCAAACCATATTGAGGACAAGCTATCCTTAATGTGAAACACTTAGTTGAGGGAAATAAAGATTGTCTAATTTTTTTTCACTCACTTATTAATTTCATAATTATTTCTGGTGCTTTTCTGTATAAATTTAATTAACTTTGATTTACCAGTTTCTATTCACACCACTGAAGTAAGAACTCATTTTATCTAGTAATTCTTTGAAATCATCCATGTTATTATGAATTACTCCAGTATAAGCAATACTTTTTTGGTATTCAACATCATTAAAATTATATATCTGTGTCTAAAGCTATTGTGTCCACTATTCCAGCCATAACTGTCACAATTTTACCAAGTTTTTCTAATTGTTGAGTAAGAGAAAAAGCAAGTAAGAAGGTTATTATGGAACCCAAAGTGAGATGGACTATTCGCACTGCACCCACACTTATTCTTACATCATTTTTAGGAATATATTTAAAAATGTAGTTGGCGTACTCTTCTTTAAAAATTGTAAAGACACCTCCTGGTGGATTATGAATATTATCATCATGCCAGAGTCTAATCATTATTTTTGTTGTAGTGATAAGTGAAGAATAAAATCTTAAATATTAATAGACAAGTAACAAAGTGGAAACCTTACTTCATAAACATATAATGGGGTTATAAACACACATTATGTAAATCAAATCTATATGTGGTCTTCTATAAACAGTAGCTCAGGTGTAACATGCAAATCGAAAATTTTAAACTGATTAAGCAAAGCCGTATAACAAAGATTAGGATCAGAAAGAAGTGATCATGTACCAAAATTTTACAAGTAAAAGTTTTTTTACTAGAATGCAGAAGTTTCATAAACAAATATCAAGTCTGATGAGGTTAAAAAAATATTTTTCCTTAAAATTTACGTTATGCCTAAATTTTGCTGCACTAAATTTTTGGTGTTTTGTATAATAGGTGTTTTACACTATAGTTATTTTGTACACCATAGCGATAGGCTTTTACGCTATAAGTATAACAATATTTATGTAGTATGTAGATCAAAATGTGAATGCACCCCAACATTCTGATATGTAGCCACTTATTAGTGCGGGTAATACAAACCTCTAAAAGGGAGAAATTTTAGGTATGACATAGAATCCGAACACTTGCAAAAGAAAAGAGAACAAAAATACTTAAAAACTAGTTTTTAAATCAGCCTTGATAGACTAATAAAAAATAATGTGAATAAAATTTCACATATAAGAAACTCCAATTTAACACTAAAGCTCACAACCCTAATATTCTAATCCTAAACATCTATTTTTACATATTTAGTTTATTTACTGAATTTGATTTCTTTTTTTGGTTTATGTTACATATGCAAATGTAACGTATGTCGATCAGTGCAGTGTTTCAGCCGAAACCGAAATTATCAGCCAAGCAAAACTTTCGACACCTCAGAAACTGGCGAAACCGTAACTTCTGAAACTTTTAAAATATCTGAAACTAATAAACTCTAAAATTTCATACAAATGTTAATTGGCTGCCCGATATGAAAGTATCAGAGCAGCTTTTTTGTCTCGAATTAATTATGGGTATCTTAATTGTTTTAGTAATATATTGTCCGTCATATAATTTCATGTGTGACTTTTTGTCGTAATGATGTAGAATTTGCTATTAGTAATTGCAGTATATAAAATCTCACCTCAAAAACATGTGAATATTGTACACATTGTACACTTAATTTATGTGAATAGTTTTAAAAATTAGTGCACTATAAATTTTTATAATACTATAAAACATTTTATATAAATATCTATTTAATTTACATATACTAGTGCAGTCATGCCACCCATCTTATATTAGCATTAAAAGTTCTATTACAGAACTTATTATCTATTGCTATACATAGTGTTGTACATAGATATATGTCCAAGCAAATTATTGGACATGGACAGTCCATAGAAACAATGTCCAATATCCATGTCAATAGACACGGACATATTTTTATATGTTAATGGATATGGACATCCATGGACAGTCTATGGACATGTCCATATCCATTGACAACACTGGCTATACACATACATAGTATGTGTTCAATATAACAAGCTATATTGGATTTATCATAATTTTTATCATAATTAACTGCCGCATAGTTTACGAAGAGCCGTTATACTTAGTAAAAAGTATGCAAGTTGATAATCATTGAATGCATTACGAAAATTAGGGTAATTAAAGAGTTTATTAAATTAATTACGAAGTTAAAGTGTAGTACAAATATGTAATTGTTTAAATCGAATAAATAGAAAATTCAAATAAAGAGAATTCATTAGTATTTTGACTGATAACATAGTTAATGACTCAATTAAAGTGAAACTTACGTGAATAAGTGGTGTGCTTGAAAGTAAAGGCGTGTGTGTTGAGCCATGTGAGACCTATAAAGTAATAAACTGTTCGCTTTAGTGACTACTTAACTCTCTGGCATTAATTATAAGGAATTTAGTTCTTGAATTTAATGATATGCTATACACAGTGGTTAAAGTTGAGGTTAGAAAAATATAATTTTACAAAAATTATTGTAAAAAAATTTTGTCATAGAACTTACTTGAATTTACTAATGTGCTATACACAGTGGTTAAAGTTGAGATTAGAATAATATAATTTTACTAAAATTATTGTATAAAATTCTGTCATAAAACTTACTCAATATTAAGTTACTACAATATGTGGTTAAGAATAATTTAGTTGCATTAGAATTATTATGATTTTATTATAAATTACTGTCAAGAATTTTGTTACAAATTTTACTTGCTAATTCAGTATATACAGAGGTCAGTTTAATTAGTATCAAGAATATTGTGATTTCTGCATATAAAATTGTTACAGAACTTACTCACTATTCTAGGGCATGGTTAAGATTGAGTTAGTTGCATTAGGATTATAATAATTTATTATTACAAAAATTGTTCATTAAAACAGTATATACAGCATTTAAGGTTGATTTCTACTAAGATACCATAAAAATTCTGTTACAATATTACTTTCTGTCCCAGTAATTATGGTTAAGGTTGAGTTGGCTGTATTGAATAATCATAATTTCTATTGTCATGGAGTATCTCTAACTACTGTGCCAACATGGCTTTTACACACAGACTTTACTCGTTTCTCACTCGCTTGTCTATTTCCATGTAGACTGTATATAGTACAGGTCCCTCCACTGATAATATGTATGCACAGATATCAGTTTATTCACTAAGAAAGTCTCAAGAGATATTTCATGTCGAAAGCTTCTGGTATCATCTCTTTTAGGATTGACATCTTATATATTAATTACTAATATACATTTGCATCACTGATTATTAAATACTTATTGTTATAGTTTAATTTGTTATCTTGTAATTTCGTGGTGCTAGGTTCAATCTGAATTGGGTATGTAAATACAGTAGTGTGATCGGAACTTGCATAATCTATTATTTAATTAAAAGTTTAATTGTAGATAGAATAATGCAATATAATGGTTGAATTAATATCTAGATACTGTAATATTTAAAGCAAATATTGAATAATAAAAACTTTTAGCATTGGAATTGTTTTTACAAATATACACTAAATAGTTGCCCTGTTACATTAATTTAAGAATCTAATTGAATGGTGGAGCACCTATACGATACTCCAATCATCATATATATTAGCCAAGTAAGTGAAGTGAAGACTGATAGTAAAGTTCAACAAATACATGGTGGGCTGATTAACTCTATGACACAACTATTCAATTCAATACCTTAACCCTATAAAAAAAGTTTGTCTGCTTTAGTTCAGCTTTTGTCAATATTGTTCAAAAAAAGTTCAGAATGGATCATTATAGTATGTATAAAAACAGTGCAAAAATTGTACATTATTAAATTTTTCAATTATAAAAATATGTACAATTATTGTTCTGCCTTTACTATAATAATGACTCCATTCTGAACATTTTTTGAACAATACCAACAAAAGCTGAACAAAAACAGAACAAACTTTTTTTTATAGAGTAATAACTGTATCAGGGTGGCTACTTAGTGTATATTTGTAAGAATATTTGTTTATATTTGCTTTAAATATCACAGAATTCAACTGGATATTAATTCAACTGTTACATAGAGATGGGAAATAACCAAACAACTTGTCTAATAGCTCTTGCATTTCACATGCTGAACTATTTATAGCCTAGCTATACCAGGAACGAAGTGAAACGTAGTGTATGAAATACCTGTGAGAGAAATGGTGTGCGAGTGCAAAATTTTACACATGATTGGTCGGCGTGATTATAGCCGTCACGTCGTTTCAAGTTTTCACATGCGACTTCATCACATTGAATTCGAAATTGTGACAAACGTAAATTTGACAGGTACAGTCATACCTCTTTATAATCACCCCTTTATAATCACAACCTCTATAAAATCACACTAATTTATATCCCAAACTTTTTAAATAATAAATTCCCTCTTTATAGTAGCAATATATATATAATCACTATCACACTTTTTTATATAACCAAATATTAAATATGTATAGTAATTTACCTTTTTATAATCACAAGTCATGTGCATTTTAATGCTTCAAACCAAGATCTACCAATTAAAATCCAGAATCTAATATATATATAGTAATACATTTGCAATACAAAATAATTTGTATTTTGTATTTTAATAAAGTATTGTAATTTATACCAGAAACAGAGAGATATAATGTTACGAAGTATATAGTTTATAATAGTACTTTTAGTGAAGTGTATTCGCAAAATCTTGTAACTAATTAAACATATGAAATTCTGCACTTAAACTTCACGTTATTGTATTACATAGCACTATATTTAAATATAAAGTATAAAATTTGTTTAACTATAACAAATATTCATTCAAGATAACACTAGATCAACAGATCGAAAAGACAGCTAAGCATTATCAAGCGATGATCACATGGGTGATTCTGGTTCCGACAAGAGAATCTGGTATATACAAGGAGGAAGATAAGTATAAATTTAATAAAATTACTAATTTAGGAGTTTATGGCATGAATTCTAATATAGCCAAATTTAGCAAGAATGTATAACAATAGTATAAAGATATAAAAAATAAAGTAGTAGGGCAGCACAACAGCAGCCCTTTCAAGAGGCAAATCAATTTCGCACTCTGCTCTACTTTCTCTTATAGAATCTTGCCATTTTGCGGCAGCTTAAACATCTCCTTTACAGCTAGTCTGCATTATGCAGATAGGAGACCAATGGCTAAAATTATGTGATTACAAAGCTTCTGGCTAATAGCCGGCCTGCATTTATGTGGGTGAAACGGCTAATGCCAATTATACATCAAATGCATATGTATGCTATATATCTGTTAATTATATATCAAACGCACTGATGTATGCGATATATCTCTGTCAATTATACATCAAATACACTGATGTATACTCTATATCGCTTCAACTATACATTAAAAGCACTGATAGATACTTTAACTCTTTAATAAAATTTGAATTTCCAGCGCTATTAGCGCTAGAATGCATTCAATAATTATATTGCAGTTCTTTTCAACTTGTATTTTTATTTGCTTTAACAGGTTTTTGTCTCAATTAAAATGAATGACAATCAATGCTTTTTTTTTTATTATTGTCTTTCGAAATTGATCTAACCAAATATAGATTTATAGTCAACTGTTTTTAGTTTTTAGAGCTATTAACGCCAGATTAGACTATAATTATTAAAGTCATAACTTGTGTCATATCTAAGATATAAATTCAGCAATGACTTAAATTGTGGTAGATTACTGTACCGATACAGTAACTACAGTATTATTACATAGCTACAGTAATAATAATTTTAAGACAATATAAGTAGAGTTAGCGATATGTAAACTATTAGTTAATATAAATAAGTTGTAAAATTTAATAACTTTAATTATTAAAGAATGAGTAACAGTACAAAATTAAGATAAATTAATATTCTTTTTACGTACAGTATATACTCTTAAATTAATTGCTAAAAATAGTAAGGTATAATTTGATATATTATAAAATTTTGAAGTTATGCAATACGCAACTATAAGCCTCATTTAAATTAACTACCAAAAAGTGTTAGCACAATAATATTAAGAAGTTTCTTATTTGTTACTATATATTTCTTATAGTAATATTAATTTAGAAGTTGTATCGATATGAATATTCTTGTTGGTATCAAGCTTTTTGTTATTATACGATTATTAATATGTTAAACTTTTAACTTTTTATTAACTCAAATATGTACCAATAAAATAAAGTTAAATTAAGCTAATAAAGTTACAACTTTATACTACTATAAATATAGCGTATTTGTAAAAAAAAAACTTCAAACATGTCAAAATCTAAACAAGTTCGAACTGCTATTAGTGATGAATTTAAGCAACAAATTTGTGAATTTGCAATTCAAAATCCTCAATATAACCATGTATAAATTGCAGAATACTTTAATCAAAATTTTCAATTAAATATACATCGTTCAACTATTTCTAAAATTATCAATGAAAAAGATAAATGGCTAGCAGTAGTTCAAAGTGAAATAGCACAAAGTAAATTTCGGCATCGTTTACCAAAATTTCCACAATTTGAAAAGGCTATGAGTTTATGGGTAGAAAGTACGATTGTGGCAAAAATTCCAATTAGTGAAATGTTAGTTAAAGAGAAAGCTAAGTTTTTATGCAGGCTCTTAATATAAATGAATCAGATCTAAAATTGTCAAATGGTTGGATTGAAAAATTCAAACGACGTAATAATCTTCGTGTTTATCGTTTACATGGAGAGGCTGAAAGTGCACCTCTAGAAACATTGTATGAAGAAAGACAAAAGTTACATAATATTCTTAGCCAGTATACGCTTGATCAAATTTATAATGCAGATGAAACTGCATTATTTTATCGTATGCTACCAAACCAAACTTTATCAACAGCTCCTATACACGGTCAAAAAAAAGTATTTGTATTTATTTAACATATTCGTACTATACTAAATTATACTAGTGATGTTTAATATTATATACGTATATCTAATATTAGTTATTTAGCTAATATAATTATGATAATAATATCATTAGTATAATTTAGTAAAATATTTATTTAAATAAAAACAAATCTATTTAATTTAAAAATACTTTTAGGATAAAGTTAGAATTACTGTTTTACTTGGCACTAATACCACAGGAACACATCGCCTTAAGCTATTGGTAATTGGTAAATCTTCACGGCCACGATGTTTTAAATATATTAATTTAAAGTCTCTTTCTGTTGAATACTATGCAAATGAAAAGGCACGGATGCGTAGTGATATATTTGAAGAGTAGCTTAGACAATTAGATTATTATTTTCGAATTAAAGACCAAAAAATTCTCCTACTGCTTGATAATGCTGCCTCTCATTTTGATCCAAATGAAGAGCATATTGATCAAGATAATGCTGGTTCCGGTTCTGAAAATGAAGAAGTTGAATTAGGTGTTGGTTCATCCTCTATGACATCTCACAAAAAACGTGCATCAAATAATAAACAAAAAAAGCGCAAAAAACAAAATCGGCAAAGTTCATATACAAATTTAACTAATATTAAAATTGTGTTTTTACCTCCCAATACAACAGCTCACCTGCAGCCCATGGATGCAGAAATTATAAAGAGCTTTAAATGCAAATACAAAACTCTTTACTGTCGACATATTTTAATGCAATATGAAACTGGCGAAGATATTAATAAGTAAGAATTTTTTGTATTTTATATTTTAACTAATACACATAGTACTTTAGTATTTATAAATGAAATGAATATAAGGCATTCATATACTACCAAAAATCTGGTATTAATTTTACTAATGTTGTAATTCGCTGTTTTTTAAAAAAAATATTAAATAAACTAATACTATTTGAATTTATAGGTTTTAGATTACTATTGCGAACAAATTACAAACTATTTAGAGCGCTACTAATTTTTATTTTTTTTTTTATAAGAAATAAATTAAACCTTAAACAGGCTATTGACTATATTTCGGATGCATGGGGTGCAATTGATGATGAAGTAGTCATCAATTGCTGGAAAAAAACCGGCATTCTTCCTGCCGTTGAAAATGAAGAAATTATTGGTGCTTCTGAATTTCAAGATGAAGAAAATTTACTTGAAAATGACGATCTTGATACACTTCTAGATGAGTTTTCTAGAGAGGATGATTATTCCGCAACTCTTACCTCTGCAATGGTTGATTTTTTTAATAATATTGATCAAACCATTGCAACAGAAGAAGCATTAATGGATCAACAAATTGTAAACCTTGTTCAAAATGAAAATAATATTGTTGAAAATGATCAAGACGACTCTGATGAAGAACCATCTGAAATATCAACACAAGAGGCATATAATGCCTTAAAAACTTGGTTATCTTTTTTTGAACAACAAGAATCTTCTGACTTCGATATGAAAGATATAAAGATCTTTAAAAAATATAGTAAAATTATAAATAGAATTTTATCAGATTCGAAAAAACAAAGTTAAATTATTGATTATTTTTAACAAATTTAGTATTTTGATATATTTTAAATAAAAATTGATATATTTTATATTTAACTAGCTAAATTTTATCATACTATTAGTATTGTAAGTGGAAATGTATTAGATTTGTAATTTATTATTTTAGGTAAGTAATTTAATAACAAGTAAATTCATGATTTAATATATGTTTGTACTTTAGCAGTAGATCATAATTTTAGCGATAGATAGATTTATAATTTAAAAATTAGATAGATTTATGATAGATTAATGATTTTAATAGCGAGTAAATTTAGAATTTTAGTAGCGAAAGTTCATACATAGTTTAGCAGCGACTTTAATAATAAATATTCATTTTAGCAGTACAGATTTAATAGTAAGCGAAGAATAAGCAAAACATTACAACTATAATTATGCAGACTAATTTAGCATCAGATTTGGGGCCGTGTATGCTTTTCTTTTTTACTAAGCTATACACTTTGCGATTTATTACTTAATATATTCATATTGTAACCATCGTAAGGGAGAGCTTGGTATTGTCATGCCGAGTTTAACTCCGATAGTTGACGTTAGAAGGATCATATGAATGGAGCAATAAATTATGGTGTTCAGATATTCATGATTACTTAGGCATTTATTATAAAAAAGAATGTGAATATATGTGTCTTTATTTATTGAGAAATTTAGATGAGTGAATGTTCTTTCTCAACTAAGGATGAAGACACTCTTATATACATTCTAATTTTACAGATTGTTAACATGGAGATCTCAACGCTTATGCCATATTTGCTCAAGCTGCAATGATTACAAATTAATGCAATCATGTATACGCTCTATTTTGAATATAACCTAATACCTAAAGTAAGATTAACATGACTATAATGGTATAATTATTGAAGGTGAGTGAAAGAATTAAACAAATACGGAAGTGATGAGACATAGGAAAAATTAATTGTTACAATATGAATATCTAATGTAAATAAAATATGAATCTTATTTTTAAAAACAAACTACACCACTATAAACAGAGAATCGGTAGTGTAAGCTTATTTAGAAAATGTTGGGCAGCTCTATTACAGAAAAGATATACATATATAGTTTTGAATTCAGATAAATAAACACTGAAATATTGGATAAACAACTAAATACAGCATAACTATATAGTATAGAGTGTAAATACCCTTTAAAAAAATGTCATAACAATCCACTACAATTTTCCAACGCTAACCCCAATAATACTTAATACCGGAACAGATAGGGTATTTCATGTACGGATCTATTCATAATAATCTATATAATTTGGAAATATTCTTGGCGAATGATAATTATACAGACTAATGTAGCTAAGTTAAATGAGATGTGAACAGCTCATATTAAATACTTAGACCAATTTGACAAATAAATAATCACTAAACTTAGAGACTAAGGGTGCTCTCAATGTGATTAATTAACTATCAAGATTATGCATCTACGATTAATTGAAGCGATCCCTACTGTAATTTTGCTAAAGATTCATATCGTGAGATCTGAAATGCAGAGAATAAAATTTCAGCAAATCAGAACAAGTCTATGACAAAAAAAGTCAACAGTTAATGCTTGTGTTGCTTCTTTAAAAACTATATTCTTTAAAATCCTTATTACTGTAGCAATGATAATGCAAAGCCACTATAATACTGTATTGGTACTATTTACCACAGTTTAAGCAATAGCAAAGTCATGCTCTAGCCATGACACAATTCATGGCTTCAATAATTATAGCTTACATAATCTGGAGCTATGACTAAAAGCCGATTCAGTTGCAGCTAATGCTGAGTCATAATTAAAGCTGCAAAGTTAGCTTAAGTTGCAGCTAATTCTGAGTCATAGTTAAAGCTGCAACACTAAGTTAGCTTAAGTTGTAACTCATCGGCTTTGGTCGGTTAGTTCCATTGTGCAGCTAAACCGACTTCGAAATAAGCCGTTAAAAACAGGTAACAGTAAATCTTTTTGGTTAGTAGAACAATAATAAAAAAAGCAGTCACTTAAATTGATTGAACAATTGTTATGGTTAAACAAATTTCATACTCTATATATAGCACTATGTGATGCAATATCATGAATTTTAAGTGCAGAATTTCGCATTTTATTGTATTTAATGAATTGCCCAATCAATTATGAGATTTTGCACACGCATATCACTAAAAGTGTCATAGTAAACCATATACTTCATAATATTACACTCCGTTCCTGGTATAATAGATACCAAAATATTAGCGCCAATTATATAAAATATTAGCTAATAAGGAGATTATATGGTTTAAATTGACCAATCAGATTGTTTTAAGTAAAAAGACAAATATTAAAAATTTTTTACTTATAATCACACCTCTATATAATCACGAATTTTCCTTCGCCCAAAAGTGTGATTATAAAGAGGTATGACTGTATAGGAATATGGCATCATCATTAACTGGAGTTTTTACAAATGAAATTTTTAACAAAATTAGAGAAACTTTATTTCTCTACAACAGTCCTTGTTAGAAATTTAAGGATAAAATAGGAACATAACAGGATAAAGGAAATTTTGTTGAGCCTTGGTCGGTCTAAACTGGAATACTTAGAAATTAACTTAAAAATTTCGATTAAAAACTATTATTTATTAATGCTTTTCTAAAACTTTACTTGTTAGATAATTAATAATGGATGTCTTTCTGAAACTTCATTTATCAGACAATGATAATGATTATACGAACCTTGCTTAAAAACAAAATTGTTGTAGAACTGAATAACATCCATTATGATTTCATGTAAATTCTTCATACTTAATATAATTCTTGAAAATTCTTCGATACTATAAGAAATTATAAAAATGACTTAAATTACCTCTGCTTCAAGAAAAGTTCAATATATTAACTTTATCGTAAGAATTATTAATTGTTGTTACATGAACAGATAACACATAAAATAAAATGAAAAGGTTATTATTACCAATAATTAAAAACACAAACATTAACAATTATTTATTTGTGAGTTACTATTAACAAATACTAATACTAAATCTGCCTAAATTATTCAAGAATAAATGATTTAATTCATAAAATTTCTTTAATATATATGATAATGAGTCAGAATTAATATGAATTGTCAAGTATATCACAGATATCAAGACATTCAAAATTCTAACTATTAATATTAGTTGAATTATTCTGTTAAGAACTTGGATACGAAGAATATTAAGAGTTATTTAAACAACCAAAATTATAAAAATTTCAAAGGTTATACAAAACTTAGATAAATTTGAAATATTTATTTACGATGAATAGATGATAAAACATATACTAAACCTACTTTGACTAATTTTATTGTATAATATAAACTTTATGATGAAGTAATATTTGTATTTAAAATGATAAAATACAATGAGCAAATCAAATATTGTGTATCTTTGTTTATTTTACTGCTTTTTTTCCTTTTTTTTTCTTGATGCTAAAACTTTGCATACTTCTCTTTCTTTTTTTAGATTGATCTTTGTCTTCCTGATCATTGTTTTTATCCATCGACTTAATATGTTCATCAGAAGACATTACTCTTTCTTCTTTATAATCACTATGTTGTTCTCTATTATCATGATTCCTAGATATGCATGCTTTTCTTTTTCAATCGTAGAGTTGATTTTTGTTTCAGACTTAGTTGTGTTATTATTACGATTAATAGAACAATGATTATTAGATGTAGCAGGCTTATTATTATCAGCAATAATGTCTAAAATTGAATGAGACTTTGATGATTTATCAGATGAAATTTTGGTAATATTAGAACTATATATTTGTGACTTCAGAAAGTCGAAATCTGTAGCCTCTATCATCAATTTACCAGAATCAGAGAATTTAATGAATCCTGATATAAGATAAGTATTTCGTATTTTAATATTGATACCTGATGCATCCAAATACTTAAATCTCATAGATTGAGAGTTATAAAGAATAATAATTTCTATCTTAACAATGGATGTTCCAGTAACTGAATCATATTCTACACACTCAACTCCAAAATGAATAAATTCTTCTATTTGTTTGGGGTTATAATTAACACTAGCAGAAATCATACAATGAGAAGTACATATTGGTACACTTGTTATTGTAAAATTCTCATTCAGGTTTACCAGAATCAATGATGCTAGCATAAGTCACAGTTATATTTTCTTCAGAATTTTCAATTAAAAGTTTATCACAAACAAATACAATATCTCCAGTATTGAATATTTGAGCTAATGTTTCTGAAGAAAAAAAATATTTCCATTTAATAATTCATGATGTCTGACTAGAAAGTTTATATCTAGCAGTGCTATAAGAACATGATCGATTATTTTTTGCAGAGGCAATAACAATAAGGAGAGCGATATGAGATAGCATATTTTAAATTTATTGAAAATATTGGTAAAAAAAAATAATTATTTGTTGCTAATGATATGTTAAATCTTCACTTTTATATAAAACTACGATTTGTAAATTTATATAAGGCATTAATAAATTACTACTCAAACTCTAAAAATTTAAATCTCAGTACTTTAATAAAAAAAAAAAAAATCATCTAATCCATTTAACTATTTAATAATAAATCCGAAAAATATTTGTAATAAAGAACTTTTATGCAACCTATTGTTATTATATAAAAATAACAACCAATGAGATGCCTAATTTAGACAATTGATACTTAATACTTACGACATATCTTTAAATAACACTAAAATCATTTAACAAAATATAAATAATCGACTACTTATTCATACTTGCAAGATCTACATATTTGTGTTGTACGTAAAGAATTTTCACATGTTAATATTGACATAACATTTATATAACGATAATTAGTAATACTTTTATCATTTTCGTTACTTCATAATTAGCAGATTATTACTAAATTATTATCACTTCATTTTTAACCAATAATTACCAAATTCTTGCATAATAAATTCTCGTTAATACATACTCAGAAGTTATTACTTAACTCACCTTTGGTAATTAGCTTATTTTGGCTAAAAAATTTTACTATAAAAGAATAAAAACCCAACAACGGAATTTAAATTTATTTTGTATACAAAAACTCATAAAAAAAAAATTATATTATAAGAAATCTTCATAAACAATTAACTATATGCGAGAATATAATTTAAAAATTGCCACATATCAGAATTTCTTTGACGATGACAACACATAATGAGACACTTAAAATAAAAAATAAAAAATTATCTACTTAAACTCTTGCATAACTTATAAATAACTTTTATATAATAATAATGAATATGTGACATTACTCTTTTGTCATGTAAAAATTATATTTTATTAAACTTATATTTATAATTGAAAACTTAACTTAGCAAAGCTTACTGTTAAACTTTCCTCTATCTGTAAAAATATAAATAATCTACTTAGATTAATACGTAAAAATATAGACTGTATATATTAGTTTGACATATTAATAATATTGTATATAGATATTTATTAAAACACTATAAAATTACTTGCTTTTATATATATATATATTATTTGCAATTCATCTCGCAATATAACATAACATATTTATAATTATCATTAATTTAAAATATTGATTTAATAATTACAATTCATCTTACAATATAACATATTATATTTAATAATCATTATTAGCATACCTTTATCTTTCTTACACTTTACACACAAAATAATAAATCATTTAATATTTTAATAAAAAGGTTAAAATATTATTGACTATTATTAACATATTGAACTATATTAAAAAAAAAAATTTAATAATATAAACTAATTTACCTATAAAAAAATTATATACTGGCAACTGAGACAATAAAATTTATATCAATGCTAATATATTATATATATTTGCATATAATTTCTTAGTTCATTTCACAATATTTATGCTATTATTAATTTGCTTTCAACTTTGAACTTTTATAGAGTTAAAATCTTTGAAGTATTATAATAGAAATTATTTAGTAAATTGTTTATTATCAATTGAAGTTTAAAGCGATATTTTAAAAAATTTATATAATTAAAAATATATTTCACTTTACGTAAAGTTTAACTATAAAACCTATTCTTTCTAAGCCTTCTGTGCAAAGTTGCGATAATATTAAAATAAAAAACATTCGATAAACAATTAAACAATTAATTTACTATATTAAATGATATAAAAAAAAGTTATAAATAATAAATTCAAACTAACCTACTTAAGAATATTTTAAATATTATTATATACTGTCACTTAAATGCTTATAACCAATTTTAAATCACTCAAACTATGGTCATTATTGAAACTAGAAGAGCTGCTCGAAAAAGAAAAAGATTTCATAAAAATGATCAATGAACATGCAATGTGGCCACAGATAATTAATAAAGAAGTATCAGAGGATGCTTTAATTCAATTCATTGATAAAATTGATCTTAATAGATTGCACGAGAAACCATGTGCTATCTGCTCAAAACTTCACAAAATCGAAAATTATAAAAAGGTTTCAGTAAATAAAATTGATTTTTCATTACTAAGAGCCCCAATTAATCTTACAAACCCAATATTTGAAATAAACTTTAATTATAACCATCCTGATATTGATGCTTATAAATTACCTGTCCTACTTGATAGAGCTGGATTCATTTAAACTGAATCACATGATACTACAACTAAAAATGTAACTTTTAATTTACAAATCTGTAATACTTGTTATATAAATTTATAGAAAAATAAAACACCACCTTTGTTTTTTGCTAACAATATGTGGATTGGCCCAACTCTATTATGTCTTCAAAACTTAACAATATCTGAACAACTTCTCATCTTACCTGGTTATCTATGCATGAACCTCATACAATTGATAAACAAAAAACATACACACTATAAACTTAAAGGTCATGTTATAACACTACTTCAAAATCCAAGTTCATTAACAAAAATGTTACCTCTACCAATATACCAACTATGTAATTACTTGAAAGTTGTATTTATTGGAAAAGAAAACCCTTCTAAAAATTTGTTTAAGAAAATACTTCAGGTTTGAAAAAGTAAAATTTCAATAGCACTTCAATGGCTCTTCCAACATAATATACTATTTAAAAACAATATTAAGTTTGATGAATACTCTCTGAATCTTTTGCCAGAAGATGAGCTTCCAATTCTATAAATTTGACAACAACAATTGTAAATATTGATTCTCAAGATATAAAACATTATACTGGGTATATTCAGATCCATTAGATCAGTATAATAAAACAAATAACAGCTTAAATAATGATGATAGCAATTCTAATGAAAATACTGAACTATTTCACTTTAATGACAATAACTCTCTTAATAATACTTATGAACTTTGACCTTCAGACATAGTTCATACTAATAATGTACCAATTACTGTAAAAGAGGTTACTATTCAAAAATTAATAAATAATACAAATCAGCAAAAATATCAAAAATTGTTTAATTCTTCAAATAAGAAAAACAACCTCCTATAATTCTCATACCTCATGATAATAAACCATTAAATGAATATGAAGATGAATCTCTTTTACATGCAAGCTTTCCAGTACTCTATCTCTATAGTATTGAAGGTCATGAAGGTCACAAAATATATATATCATTAAAACAGTATACAAATCATCTTATGTGTTATAATAACTTAAAATTTAGACAGCATAAATTATTTCCATTTGTAACTTTCAATATTTTACAGTAATGTGAAGTGTCATCTGAAACATACAACTTAACAAAAAGTTATAATTTTGAATATTTAGCAAACCTAATTGCAATGCTCAATTCTAATAATATTTTAATTGCTATTAATCAAGAACAGAATAAACTACCTATTACAAATCCTGCAATACATAAACTACTTAAAAATATTAATTCTGCTGGTTCAAAATTAATGGCATCAACTCAATCATGTACAAAAATGCGTAATAAAATATGTGCCATTATTATACATGATGGAGACCTTCATTTTTTATTACTATTAATCCTGCTGATCTATATAGCCCTATTGTTATGATATATACAGATAAAGAAATTGACTTTGAAAATATGTTATCTAAGAATTTTCCAAAAGCTACAGAAAGAGCAAAACTTGCACATCTTGATTCTTCAGCAGTTTCAAAATATTTTGATGTTGTTATTCAAATACAATAATTGAATACAATAAAAAAATAGGTGTGTATTTGAATCAGTAAAAACACACTATGGTGTAGTAGAATACCAAAGCCATGGTACTCCACACTGCCATATACTTATTTGGCTTTATGGTGTACCAGACCCAATTACATTATGTGAAAAACTCAAAAATGATAAAGTCTTTTTTCAACGATTACTAAAATTTATTAATAATATTGTTTGAGAAGATTTTAGCCATTTATTAAATAATAGTGAAATATTAACTGATAGCATGCTTGAAGCTGAATATATAAGACCTAAAACAATATTAGAAAAATGAATGCACCCATCAATTATATCTATTCCAAACCCCAGATTACCTAATTTTAATGAAAATTTTTGGCAAAATTTACTTGCAATTGCAAAATGTACTCTTTTTCATTATTGCAATAAGTGTTATAAAAAATATAATCGTGGCCTACAAAAAAATTGCAGATTTGATTTTTCAAGAGAATTGGTTAACCCACCTGGCATAATCTATTCTGAGCAAGGTATTATTGCAGTCCAATGTGTTAATGCCTTTATAAATAATTATAATTCATATATAACAGCTGCTTGTAAAGGAAATAATGATATTAAATTTATTTCAACTAGAAAGCTTACTCTAGCATATATATATTACATTACTGATTATATTACTAAATTAGATGTTAGTACTAGAGATATGCAAATGCAAGTTTTTTGGCGTTGCATTACATAATGCAGTATTATGTCGCATGATGCATAATGTAATCCTGTGTGAATAATATAGATATCTCAAAACCTATATGCAGTGAACAGACTTTGTATTATTACTAAAAGGTTATCAGATTCAAAAACATAAACTATTAGGTTTTATAGTGGAAACAGACCTGGTAGATTGATTTTTTATTTGATTTCACAGGCTATTGATATTTATAGAAACAAGTGTCTATAAAGTAATTGTTGATAAAATGATATAGATCAAAAATACATAATAACTTCTATGTGTATTTTTAAATTTTAGGCAACTTGCATTGCATTATGTAGCATTATGTAGCATTATGTAGCATTCAACATCACCTGCATAATGCATACAGCACATCTCTAGTTAGTACATATAGTTCTTTTTTAATATGTGCTTTTACTTTAGAAACTTTTTTAGCATATGAATCTAATAATACATCATTAGATATTATAAACAAGTCCTGTAAACTTGTAACAAAATGTCTTAACAAAATATTAGGCCAAGTAGAACTTACAA